CCTGCTTCGCAGCACATACCACATTTCTGACGCTTGGATTCGCCCTGCACACAGACACAAGGCATGCAGGCATGCATTCCCCGACTATGGACCGAGGTACCACGTAAAAGGTCGCACCAAACCAATAGAATGACCCTCTGCATTGGACTGCAACTTGCCAGCAATCGTTACACACCGAAGGCTGCATCTACAGCACCCGAATCAACTGACCAATGTGCATCTTCAGCCTCGGATGAGGCAACACTGCAAGCCTGATCCCTGCCCCGGAGACACCAACACAAGTCTTCATACACATACACACACACACTGTACATACTTTACGCATCAACTCACAAGCGTTCGCCAAAACACATTGCCAACACACACATACAGGCAGGCAAAAGTGGGGAAATCTAAACACACCGACATAATGGCACAGCCGCACACGGGCATGTTCGCATTCACACAAACTTTGGAGACAGGAATATAATTGCTACAACCCTTCTTATGCGCGTGTGTGTAAAACGTCAGGATGGATTGGATACAAGAGGAGCAGAAGCATCGATCGAAGAAAATGATTATTCCAGGCAAGTAATGTAAAGTGAAAATATCCACACCAATTTTAGACTCCCAATCGCCAAGGATTTTAGCAATGACTTCTGGTCTGGAAAGCCAGCCGAATTCGGACGTGAATCTTGAGGATCTCGTGTACAAGAAACTAAAAAACACACTTGCTATACTGTACCTTATTTATGCATCATTTGCAAGACCATGCACGTCCGCCGTACAAACAACCATTACCTTGGATACCGATCCAGCCGTTATTGACAATAGTCGGATCCAGGGTAGCATTGCGGAGGGAGCATTCATTTGCAGACTTTGGCATGAACGACTGCAGACTTGGCAAAGAAAAAGGTTAACTGGGGACTGTCCAGCGCACAAATGTTGACGTGACGCCAGGCCGCAGGTTAGTTATTCCAACTGGCGCAATAAAGAGAAATGAATGAGGCTCGAGGGCGGAAAAAAGCCAACTGAAACAAACCAAATGAAACGAATTATTTGGTTGTAGAAAAACTGGGTTTCGAAGACTCCCTTGACAGTTCCATGCTGGAGTACGAGTAAGTTGATTCCACCGTAGGGCTGTGGGGGTTGCCTTGGAGCTGTGGTTGTAGATTTGTGTGAATAGGTCCTCGGCCCACCACCCTGCGGCTGAGCTTAAAGCCGTCATGTGATGTAGATCGTCAGGACAGGAGACCATGTTCAACGATGATTCATCAAAGACACGAAGGCAAGAAAAGTGGCCGGCTTCAAACCTACTTCCTTCTTATATTCCAATTTGGTCCATTTATACATCTCATGTTTGGGTTGGATGTTCTATACTTTGCCTCCATATTTGCTCATAAGTTAAGTTAAGTGGCTGTGGATGACATGTGAAGTGAATACAGATGAAGCGTGAAATGGTTGCAGTTGAAACCGAACAGCTGCATCCTCCCATAAAGCACATATGCCGCATGCGATTGCGTCCCATTGCACGTGTTTTTTGTGTGAGTGCATTGCTCTTGAAATGAGTGTGAAGTGGGAGTCAAAACCGAACTCCAACCTAATCGAGCCTCCTCCTCCTCCTCCTCCTCTTGCTCGGTGGTACTTCTCGTGTTGTTAACTCGCCCTCGTGGATACTTATTCTCAACCGGAAAAGGAATTTGGTTTAACTTTTCTTGATATCGTAGTTAGCAAAGTGTGGATTAGATTAAGCAGAAACGGGTATAGGAAACGCACATATGAAAGTTTCCTTTTAATTTTTTTTCCAACCACACTTATGTGATTAGAGTAGGAGTCATACAGTCCATAACAATAAGGAGCCTGCGTCTGACAGATGTTAAAATTGGGACCAGGAACTGAGTAGACTAACTCGAATTGGAGCTGAGAATAATTATCCACGAGGACGGGTTGACAACTATTTTAGAATATTGTCAAATAGAGTAAAGTGAAATACATATTTGGGGCTAGATAAACAGATAGATCACTCTACCAGGATGCTTATGCCGCCATCGTGTAATTTGTCAAAGAAGATAGACGAATTTCTGAGGAGTTGGTGCATCAGAACCATTTATTGAGAGAAAATAACACTGTGCTCGGTATTGCCTTCTTTTCGAGAACACTCTGACCCGCTCTCCAGATCGGGCTGTTACAAGATTTTGTGTTCATCTGCGAGTGCTTATGTGAGAGAGACCTGTAGACCAATACATGAGAGGCTATCCGAACACAAAACAGGCTGCAAGGGTTTGTGGTTCCAAAAATCGGAATTGACCTACTGCCAAGCGCTTAGCTGGAGATGCAGACTATACCAAATAGTAAGTGGAAGATTGGAGAGGCGATAGAAATCAACGAAACAGCCAAAACCGTGAAAAGAAGGAATGAGGGTAGGGAGTTGAGCGGAAACTACTTGTGGCTGTTGGAGAGGTTTAAAGAGAGTTGGGGGGGGGGAACGAGCAGTACCAACGAGCAAGAGGAGGAGGCTTGATTAGACTGGAGTTCGGTTTTGACTCTCACTTCACAGTCAGTTCAAAAGCAATGCCCTCACACAACACGCCTGCAATGGGATGTAATCGCATGCGGTAACATTGAAGGATCAAAGGCTTAAGCATTTTATGGGAAGATGCAGCTGTTCGGTTTCAACTGCAACATGTTCACGCTTCATCTGTAGCCACTTCGCATGTCATCCGCAGTCACCTAACTGAGTTTATGTGCAAAAAAAGAGGCAAAGCAAAGGACATCTAAGCAAAATATGAGATGCATTAGTGGACTAAATAGAAGATAAGAAGGAAGTCGGTTATGGTTGTTAGAAACACTAACTAAAAATGAAATATCTTTTACAAATAAATATATAAAAAGTAATGAAAAAATAATTCAAGAATAAATAATAAACCGATAAAAATAATTCGAAAAATATAGTCAATCAAAGGAAATCAATTCGCAGAAGATAAATATAATGATAAGAAAATAAAAAAGGAAAGAAAAATAAAATGGAAAAAACATGAGATAATAGGAAGAGATATGAGTTGATAAAAAAAAAGAAAAGTGATTAGATAATGTGATAAAAGAAAATATTATAGAATAAATTGTAAGAAAAATGAG